AGGTTATCAAGCAACACAAAAATCATACAGGGCTGTGACTCTGCAAGTTATAGACAATGGGAGAATTCTTCAGTGAGGGTACAAAACACCAGAATTTACATCTCTGTTCACTCCTCTTCATTACTCAGCTGCTTCAGAGACAGTTTCATGACTGCAGTGTTGTAGAGAAAACAGAAACACTTCTCATCAACAGAAAAGTAGCATGGGGTATTTTGCATATTTAAGCACACACCATGCGTATCCTGTCCCTCAAGAAAAGATTGCAAATTATTTTTTCTTTCTAAATTGGAACTGCTCTCACAACCATTTGAAAAGTACAAATCCAAACGCAAGGACTAACCTTGAATTCTCTGACTAATAAGGCACTTCATGAGCAGCTAATAAAGATTTGTCTTTTAGCTTAATAAAGAATACTAAAAATACCTCACAATGAGGATGGCTCACCCCAAAAATTACACAGTAGTCACTACAATTTCACATGATACTTATGAAGGAACAGATGAGCATTATCAGCAGGGTGGAGAGCAAAAAATGGAAAGACCAACTGCTGATTCTGAGCAACTAAAAGCATACACTGGAAACCAGCAGAGATCTTAGTCAAAATACTTCATCAACCACTATGCAAGCTGCAGAGAGCTTATTTTAATAATACAGTAACCTATTAAAGAGATCTCTACTTTAAAACAATAAAATAAATCAAAATCTAGTATTAAAATTTTATTGTGTAGTACAAAAGTACTTTTAAGAAGACAACACTTGAAACAAAGGACCAGATACTGAAGTGATTCACAAGCCAGGAATCAATACCTGTACAGTCTTAGTAATTTTCTTTATTTTGCACTTGGATGAATAAAATTCATACCTCAGCATGCTTTGCTGCATCTGCATGGGGATGGCCAAAATCTACACAAGCATGGCTTATGCAACACAATGAACACGAGACAATGCCATTGAACGCTGAAGTCCATTTTAGATTGCAGCACCTCATCTGCTTTTCAACAGCAGACTCTTTCCTTTTACACCTGTCTTCTTTTAACATGAGGTCTTAAGGAGATCATTCTTTCTTCCTTGTCTTCTTCCTTCTTTCTTCTACTCAAACATGTTGTTTAAGCAGATGGAGAGTCTTAATGATACCTCAGTTATATCCACTGGTAAGCAAAACTGACAAATGTTTAGAAAATTAACAAGTAGAAGAGGCAAAAAACCCCAGATAATTTCTTTAACAGGATTTCAAAATATTATTTGATATTTGCCTTAGAGAAATACATAAATTCTCTGCACAGGGAGTTACAGAGGTGTAAGACATATAACTTGGACTATAAACAGTAAGAATTGGCAAGTCTCACTGATACAAGTCCTGCCAACTAAAGACAATAATGGAGTGAACTCTACACAGCCAGCAACTTTGCATCCAACACACTTACAGAAGAAATCTCTAAGACAGTGAATAGGATGCCTGAACTAATTTCAGATTAGTGTAAAACTGCACAAGTAAAGCTAAAGGTCTATAAAATAACCCGCTTGCTAAGTGCTTCATCAAAGCTAAGTCCACTGACTTAGCAGAAACAATTCTTGTTTGTAGAATCCCATGCTAGATGAGGAGTATGTTCTGTACTAGCATTTATTTCTAAAATCTATGAAAATGTAGTGCAGATAAACTGTGACTGGTTTAGCTTCACTGAATGTTTAATAGCAATTTTTGCTTTGTCTCCATGAAAGAAAAAGTTAGTGCTCGTTTTTCTGATATTTCTAAGTTACTAGCAATGCCTTTCTTACCCCCAGCATGTTTTACAATGGCTGAGGAGGGAATGCTTTGCACCTGAACAGCCCTGAGCCAGAAGCAACCTGTATGAAATAACAAGCATACTTAATGTCTTGGGTCCACCAAAATGCATTCAAAGCTGGGCCAAAACCCATTAATTCCACAGAACTAGAAACATACAGATGTCAACATACGTGAATAGAACTGCCCACTTGAAAAGTCAAAACATTCTGTGTCTGACTACACATGTGCAGTTCCATTTTTCAGAGAAAGCGAGCTACATGGCAAACATACTTAAGTCCCTTCCAAACAAAAATCTTGCTCACAATATTTGAAAGCTCCCAGCTCGCCCACTTCCTGTTTTTCACAGCAGGCATTACAGGCAGTCTGCACCATGAGAGTTTCTTCCTCCAGGGCGTATCTCACAGGGAGCACTCCAGCAGGTCTGCAGGCATGTCTAAACTATACAGCAAGGCATGCTGCCAAGAAACCAAAACCAGTTTTAGAACCAGTAAAGCCACCATCAGCTACACCATTTTCAGAATATGAACAACTACCCATGGTACAGCCCTACATTGACAGCAGCTGGTCCACACATTTCTGTGTGGCTCAGGCTTATAAAGGAGCTTTGTGTTCCCACAGGATGGTATGCAAGATTTGTTCAGAATGCTGCCCACCTTCACACTGTAAAAGCAGATATAAAAATAGGTTCAGCTCTTCTGCTGGCTTCCCTTTGCCTATTTTTAAGCTGATGCAGTCCCTGACTTTAATCATCATTGCTGTTATTGCAGTATCTGTATATTGCTGATTGACACTCTGGTCTCTCGCCAGACAGAGGCAATCTTTGCTGTGAAAAGTACAGCCCTCAGTTTTCACCTTTGGATATAGACACTCCTGGAAGCAACAAAGGGTGCTTGTACAGAAAGAACATTTTTGAAAAACATGAAAAGCAAGGAGGACATTATATCCATGTTCAGTTTCAGATAAGTCAACTATGAGGCAGGTTGCATTGTTACAACTTCCAGGTAGCAACAAGAGTCTGTCTGACACTGCTTTTCTTCCTTCTATATTTTTTTCCGATCTTGTAATTAGACAGAAGGCAGTAGAAACAGTGCTTGACTCCTTCATAATGGAGCAAAAACTGCAAGAAAAGCTCACATCTTATTTTCTAAAGCCAGAACTTCATTCCAGCATCTTTTCACAAAGTGTTGTGTCAAAAGCTTAGGAACATGTATGAAATAGGTTAATCCAAACACTTTTAAGTAATAGCTGTCCAAGACACTGTGACAACACACAATCTTTCATCTCAGTGAGTATTTCTATCTTTTCCCCAAGACTGTAACAGTTTTACATAAAACTAACAAATTCTAGCAACACAGAGACTGATTTACAAAATACCTCTTACAAAACATTTTCTTCTTAATTTTGCATACCGTAAACAATATTCAGTTTAATTACAAGAAATGTTTTACATTTGGATCATTTAAGCAACAGTTACTGAGTAGCTGCTTCACTGTACAGGACAAAAAGATTAAATCCCTATTTGATATCCTATCTCAACTTCTCAGATGACTAAATGTAAAAAAAGCCAAACATGCCTTCTTAAGAACAGACTGACAAGAATTACTTAATTTCAAAAGAAGAAACTACACTGCGTAATTTCTGCCTATCACCTAGAATTGAGGCTTTTTTGCTTGTTCCATTTAATGTATGCACACACACTAACATAAACTAAATCAAGACTTAGATTTAATAATGACTAGAAAGTAGTAGTCAGTGTCACATACAACTACCAAAATTACTCTGAGACTCCTCTCCCAGCAACTGCAACTTTTATTAGGTTTTTAATTCTCAGTTTCAGATTCTAGATGTAGACTTCATTCTATTCTAATGTCATAAACAGTTAATTTAAAAAAAAAAAAAAAAGCTATCGAAAATTTAACATAGATCCTTCCTTAGATCCTTCCTTCACTGCACTCCCATCTTCCCTACATCTCTCCTGGCAAAATTCCAGAAGCACAGAACAGTCATCTGAATCTTGACAAGCCAAAAGCATCTTCTGGAATAATATGCATTAGAACAACAAAGGTAAAGAGGAATTAAATTTAAGAAAGCCATAAGGAGAACATATTTGTAATCTTATACAAACAGCTGCCACAAATAAGGGGTTTTGGACCAGTACTCAACTTGTCTGTGGAAAGAGCATACCTCTACTCCAGAGTTGTACTACTAATTTAATCATCACATGGGTTCCCCAAAGTAGTTCAGCACTTAAATAATTTAGTGTCTTATTTCTACATAAGAAAGATCAGCAGCAATAAAGAAAAATAAGATGCAACTGTTCAACAGTATCGTCACACATTCATGTGAAAATCAGGAAGTCATTCTGTGAAATCAGTATTGTTTTTAGAAAAATGTCAGGAGAGACAACTTTGTGGTCTTTCAGTTTACAAGTTTAGGTGCAATACACACCTGAACTTGAATTAATTAATAAAATTTAAGTTTCTATTTTGACTAGTCAAAAGCTATACAAAAATATTCAGATATTACTTGTATATTGAAACATGGTATTAATCCAACTTTTCAACTTTTTTGTCAGCATATTTTGCATTAAGGAGATGAAATGTGGTCAGCATAAGCACAAGTTTGGATGTATTTTTAGGCTTGGGGAGGCACAACAAGATGATGGGGAGATTTTAAAATACTTGGAAGGAAAAGAGAAATAGCGTTCTCAGCTCTTTGAAACCTATGAGGTACAATCCTGTACCATCCCACCTCCATCATACTGATCATCCCTCCTGAAAGAATGTTTACCCGGAGTAGAGCACTTCTGCTCCAATGCAAACACACACATCACCAAGTGAAAACACTGCCTCCCTCCCTCTTTCCCTTGGGTTCCACCAATCACAAATAAACACCAAGAATTAATGGATTTCCCATCCACTCTTATGAAAACTTTTCAACTCAGTTTAGCAAGTAAAATGTGAAAAAAGACACTGAATTGCATCTCTCTGATGTCTGCCCTGTCAAGAAAATCTAACCATTCTGAAAGCACTCATTCTGTAATCATTCTGCTTAAAGCGAGGAAAACACTTTACCTCCTCACCTTCAGATCAGAAAGGGATCAGAAGTGGATTTTTAAAAGCATAATTAAGACTGAAAACATTTGCTGACAGCTTGACAGCTCTGAACATTAACCCTAGAAAAACTGAATTACAGGGCTCACTCATACTGTTACCTGTAATTTTGTATCCATATGCAGCCAGCTGTCCAGCCATGTATTCACCATCTGAATTATTGTGAGAACATCCCCATGTACGAATCCAGATTTTCTGAACACCAGGAATAATGCTGTCAAGTAAAAACAAATGAGAAATGCCAGTTAAATGACGAACAAGCTTCCCTGTTAAGCCCGCTGAACTGACTGAATGAATTGTAATTCTTCAAACATAAAATAAGCAATGCAAGTAGTAACAACTCCAAAACAGCTGAAGAAAAACAGTAATTATGTGATTTTAGTGTAATGGGTATTAGGCCTTGATGAGATAGAGTAACAAAAACCACTGTAGGGCCGTGTTTTGTGTTTGTGACTGTAACAGTGTTAACACACTGGTGGTTTCAGCTGTCATTGAACAGTGCTTGCTTGTTTCCCACTGTGCTCCATCCCACCACAAGCAGGCTGCAGATGGACAACAGGTTGGGAGGAACATAAGCAGAATAGCTGACCAACAGGATAATTCATTCCAGATGACATCATGTTCAGCAATAAAAGCTGTGGGTTCGGCCTTTTCAAAATAACCACTGTTCTGAGACTGGCTGGGTACCAGTCTGCTTGTGGGAGGTGGCAAATGGCTGCTTTTGCATCACTTGGGTTTTTCCCTGCTCCTTCCTTCCTTCATTTTATCTGTCTTCATCTCAACCCACAAGTTTTCTCACTTTTACTCTTCCAGTTCTCTCCCTTGTGGTAGAGTCAATCCACCACAACTAGTAAGAAAAGAGATAGAAGAGAGTTTCAGCATGGAGAAGGTGCAGGAGCTGTAGGATAACAACAGAATCAGTACATTGCAGTTATGTTATCGCAACAACAAAAACTCCAACAAAACACACAAACAGAAAAAAAAAAAAATCCCAAACTTAAACTCCGCGAAGTTCTCAGAATTATTGTACCACGTAACAAGGAACCTTCAAGTGACAGCACTGAAATTAGGCCACCAGCAAACAAACTGCAACCTTTTGATATTACAGCATGCATTGACTGCAGTTCCCTCCACACAAGCCAGCTCTATAAATTAACTTGATGGCCACCAGCCACACGAACAGCGGAAAGCCCCCATCCCAACCTTTCCGGGCTACAGAAGCAGCATGGCAGACATGCAGTCTGGAGCTAGCACATACAAGGCTCCAAAAACCAACAAAAAGTTCTGTAAGAAGCTCTCATTGAAATTCCTGGGATAACTGCCAATGAGCTAAAGATGCCAGTACAAGAACACCATACATCCTGGAACACAATACTGTGCCCTGCCTACAGCTTTTTTTTTCCTCCCCCTCCCCCCTCTACGCTTCTTTTTTAACAGACACTTCCCCTAGCTAAAAATAGAAATTTGTTGATGGAACATTAATGATCATTAACTGCAAACACAGGATATTTAGACTTCCTGCTGTCTAAACAACACATGTTCAATGTGCTTTCTTGGGTACAAAACACTAAAACACAGCCTGCTAGAGAATATATAGTACCTGAACGCTTTAGGGCATGAACTACTTGTGTGAAGTATCTACAGAGCACCAGCTCAGCTGTCCATACATTCCTGGCAGACTGGGGCCAATGCACCTTTAGGGGCATGCAGATAAAAATGCATTGTTATGCTTATAAAATCTCTTTTCAACATCAGTGAAAACCCAGAATTTTTTTCTCCACAGCAAATTAAATTTCCATACACAATTTATTTTCATTCTTATCATCTAGGGAAATTTTATGCACCAACTTGAAACTAATGTTTGGAAAAAAAAAAAAAAACAAAAAAAAACAAACATAGATCTCAGACCTGCAGTAGAAACTATAATCAATAACTGAGCTGACCTATACTCTAATCAATTCCACTGCAGCAGAAAGTTGATTCTGTTCTTATGGAAATCACAAGTAGGAAAAACATAAAGAGGCATTTCATGCTTACTGCATACTATTTCCACTGAAATAAAACATTGAGTTCAAAAGAAATTTTACCATGTCACTTGCAGGATGTACACACAAGAAGTACAGCCTTTGCACACCCCAGGATGCAGAAAACGGATTTAAAGACTGAAGCAAGGCTGATGTACCCTTCATAAAAGGAGACTGGGTCAGAGAATACACAGTTCAGCACACTGAGCATACACAAGTCCCTGGGCCCTGACAGGATGCACCCACAATAGAGACAGGGACGTACTGGAGACAGTCCATCAAAGGGCCATAAAGATCATGAAGGCACTGGAACACGCCTCGTAACAGAAGCAGGATCGGACTGCTCTGCCTGGAGAAGGCTCAGGATGATCTCATCAAAGTATATAAATACCTGAAGGGAGAGTGCAAAGAAGGCACAGCCAGGATTTTTTTCAGTGGTGCCCAGTGACAGGACCAGAGGCAACAGGCATAAACTGAAACATCGGAGGTTCCCTCTTAGCACCTTTTTCACTCTAAGAATGACCAAGAACTGGCACAGGTTACTCAGGGAGACTGCAGAATCTCCATCTCCTGGAGATATTCAAAAACTACCTGGTCAGAGACCTGCCAACTGCTTTTTTGTGGCAATGCTCAAGCAGTGGGTTTGGAAAAGATGACCTTCCAACCCCAACCCTTTTGCACCTCTCAGGATTTTGTTCCTATTACTCATTTCACAAGTCAAAAGGCTACTCCAGAACTGCATTTTGAAGAGCTCAGATTATATTTAGGTAATTAAGATTAAACAGACAATTTTTCAGAAATCCTTTACACATAAAAGCGTAACAGAAACCATTTTTCCAGTCTGATTACTCCATTCATCAACATCTCAGCAGTAACTGATTTCCACAGAAAATCTGTCTAGGAAAAGGAATTTGCTTAGGATTTATTATTTATTCTCTCTACATTCTATGCGGACTATTTTACTCATTTTTATCTTGTACACAGATTTCACATTAAGATATAAAACAAACTTCCACCTTATTTTTAAAATCTGACAAGTGCATGGGAGACACAAGAAAAGCACCAGCACAGGGTCAGTGTAAGACTTCACCTGTCACTTGGGGGCTCATCATCTGTCTGAGTGTTCTTCTGGGAGTTGCGTTTTCGCACTTTGGGAAACACATTCCTTCTCACAAACTGCCGATCGTGTGGCTTCAAATCCTCTGCTGACACGATGTCTTCAATATCCTCAAGCACTGACTCACAGGCAGCAGGCATCTTCAAGAAGTGTTGGGAGAAGATTGGCATTAGGAAAGCATTTAAATACAAAACCAAGGCCTTGTATCTACTGCACATTTCCCACAAGGAAAAGTCAGATGTATCTCTAAGCATATGTGCAATGTATCACACGCATGAGGGATACTCAGTACATAGAAACAATCCACTACCAGAGACATTTCCTGAATGCCCTCTTCCCCCAATACCTCGAACACAGGCAGGGAGAAAGTCACGAACCATATAGATTCTTAAGAGCTTATTTATAAATCATCTGTTCCTTGTCATCTCCTAACTCAAAACCCCTTCACCTCCTCTGACACAACACATTCAAGATACAGGTATTTTTAATCACGTCAGCATCATAATAAAATAGTGAGCTCCTGTCATATGATGGATGTACTTCCACTCACATCACAGAAAAAGAACAAAAGACACAGAACCCAAGTGACTGCTCCAGAGCCCATTCTGGCTCTCTTATCTGTGTGTGGACACTAACCAAGTATGTTTTCACAGTCCTTCTGAAAACAAACCAAACTTCCTACAATTCCTGATCCCACATGGCTTTCATCTGAATTAGTTCATTCACTGGAACAGTAAAATAAAAATTTCTGTTTTCAGGTAAAGAATGCTAAACAACTATACCTAACTAATAAAATATATATATACTATAATCTGGCTAGAATAATATATTAAAAGATTGCTAATATTTAATTATATTTTTCACAAGAAACTAAAAATATATGTATATGTATCTCCAGCAGATGCGAAAATCCAGATCAGTTTTCAGGAATCAAAAAAAAGCCATTTGCTAGAAAAGTCTATAAAAAAAGCTACTGAATTAATTACACACCACACTGTGCTGTAACTCCTAGTTAGAATAAAGTCTGAAGTACCAGTGGAAACTCAGGTGTTTTACATAAACCAACAGCCTACTAGGGAAATCATACAAGGGTATTTCACAGTTTACAGGGAAAATACAACACTTTCCTAAGTGACCATGAAGAACAAAAAACCAAGGCTTTAATGTCTTTAAACTTATACTTCAGTAACTGAAGATTTGCTACTGGCATAAAAACACTTCCAGATGTTGCAAATGAATTAATGAAGAACATAAAAAGTTGAACACCCGTGCACTTTCCCAGTCAATCTTGCAAAATATACTTCAAAATAAAACTTCACATAAGCTGAACCATCACACATCTGCATTTAACTTAAAAAGGAACAGAATGATATCACAAAGAGGATGGATCTGCCCAAGCTACTTAGGCAGTTAGCATTCTTCTAGATAAAAAAAAAAAACAGGATCTATACAATAATGCAGCAAAAGGCAAACAAAAATAAACATTTGTGAAAACTCTAGCAATAAAGAATGTGAGAGAAAGGTGGCATCTCATATGTCTAACTTACACCACTGAGAATATGTACAAATAAGTAAAGTTCAAATCAATATCTGGAAGGGAACAAAATGTTTTGATTTATCATTTTTTCTCTCTTACAGAAAAATACCCAATATAATGGAGCAGCTGGAAAAACAAATAACCTTAGCTTATTTCAGTGACCCATGGAACAAAGAACACAGCCAAACTAAAATTCCTACCTTTTTAAGCAAGGTATAAATCCTCTTGGACAGTAAACCTGGGGGGTGGGGGGAATAAGGAAGAGGAAAAGGAAAAAAGATATGGCATGAAAAAGCAGAACTAGCAGACAGAAAGCCATGAATTCATGTTATTGTCCAACAAGCACTCATCCTCCCTTTGCAGAAATACATTCCTTGCTCATGAGTTTGACCTCATGTGGAGCTGGTACGCATGCTGGCTGGCAAGGTGGAAGAGTTCCCACGTTTTCCCTGTCTCCTGAGCAGCGGCACTGTTCTTTTTATCCTTCTTCTATAGAGTCTTTTTTTTTTTTCTAAGTCAGATGTATTTAAGTTATCTCAGACTTCCTCCAGATTCTGTCCTCAATCAGTTTAAAATTTTGAATGAAAGAAGGGAGAAAGATTAACAGCAAATTTTAGTTCAAGTCATTCAGTTTTTTTTTTTAAATTAAAACACTGTGGAAGTTATTTTAAAACAGATTACTTGATATCTGCACCAATTCCATATGCATACATGAGATCTCCTTCACAAGGAAAAAACAAAAATAAAGATGAATTCCTGCAGCTATTCTGGCAGAGGGACTGAAATAAGAAGTGATAACAAAATTAGAAGTTAATGTATTCTTCTCATACAGCCCAGCTGCACCTACAGAACGCTACATTTTTCTTTAAAAAAACATTACTTTAGAGCAACATTAGAGCAATTTAAAAACTAGAGTTGTTTTAACATCTTGTCACAACCAAAACTTCCAGTGTGCCAATCTGGTTTGGTCACCCCTGCTCAATCTCCACGCACATTCAAACGGGGACCATCCATCCAGGTGGAAGAGGGCTGCTTTTTTCAGCTATTTACCAACACGTGTCTCTGGTAAAGTCCCGGGATTTTATTCCCGGCCCCACACAGAGCAGAAGAAAACTGCAGCGTTAATACACAGAGACTGAGTTTAGAGCGTATACGTATGTTTTATGTGTGTGTGTCCATATATAGGTACATATCACAGAACGATGGAATTGTTGGCGTTGGAAGAGAGCTCCAGAGATCATCCAGCCCTGCCACGGGCAGGGCCACCTGGGGAGGTTACAAGGGAATGTCCCCACGTGGGTTTTGAACGTGCCGAGAGAGGGAGACGCCACAACCTCCCTGGGCAGCCTGTTCCAGTGCTCGGCCACCCTCAGTGTAAAGTTCTTCTTCCTGTTAAAGCGAAACTTCCTGCCTTGTAGTTCATGGCCGCTGCTCCTCGTCCTGTCACTGGGCACCTGAAGAGTCCGGCACCGCCTCTGAGATATTTACACGCATTAATGAGATCCCCTCTCAGTATTCTGTTCTCCAGACTAAACAGACCTGGTTCCCGCAGTCTCTCCTCATACACATAAATATGCGAACAACGTACATACATATATACATACATATATATATATGTAGATATATATATAAACACACACATAACAGCGGCCCACGGGCGAGGGGCAGCCTGGCCCATGCACATCCCGCAGCCCGGCTGGGCTCGGCTCCCCCAGCCCGCTGAGGGTACCCCATCATCCCCGAGCTGCATCCCGACCGCCGGCCCCTCCGCAGATTCCCGCCCGGACGTTCGTCTCCTCCCCCCGAATTTAACACGCAGCCCTGGAGGGCCGCACAGGGGACGGGAGCATGGCGCGGGCAAGAGAAGGGCAACTCCGCCAGGCCGTCACAGCCAGGCAGGGGAGGGAGGGACGGGACAGGACGGGAAAAGAGGAGAGGGATGGAGGGGAAGGGGGCCAGGGCCCAGCCCGACCCCGACACTCACCCGCGCCTCACCCGGGCTCCGCCATCACGCCCCGCCCCGAGGCCTCGCGCGCGCAGCGGCGCCAGGACGGCGGCCGGCGGAGGCCAAAACAGCGCGGAGGGCTCGGCGCCGCCGCTTCGCCGCTAAAAGCGCGGTCTCCCGGAGCCTCGGCATTTCATCTTCGTTTTAATTGGAAAATAGCAATCCCAGCTATACCTATCCTGCGATGCTGATCTGATCCAAATGGGTGATGAGTTATTCAATCCTTTTCTGGCCACAACGCTCTTTTTTTATTCTTATTTTTATTTTTCATTGTTTATTTCCTCAAAATACAATGTTAGTGGCAGCTTTGCTGAATACTATAAAAGATATTGGTCAAAATATTCAGTATCAGATGGCTGAAGTTTCTGGCACTGTTTTTCTCCAAACTTTTCTGTTTGATATTTAGTAAAACACCAGGGTGGTTGTTGGATGGCTGAAGGTAAAGCTCTGAGCAGATTAAGCATGCAGTGTCCCTGCTGATCCAAGTGTTGTCGAGAGTGAGCATATTATTATTGCTTTGGCTTTAATATACACAGTTAACCTAAAACGATTATTTATATTGTATACTATATTTGTATTTAGTATATTCTATTTTGAGGTAGTCAGCTTTGGAATGTAAAAGTCACCATTTCCTGTAGTTGCATTTCAAACGTTAGGTTTCTCTCTTTAGAAGGAGCCTTTGGAATCAGTTTATTCTTAAAAAAGCAGATTGTAGCCTCTCTGGAACTGGAACGAAAGTGAATGAAAACCCTGGGTGTTCTCCATAATAGGTCTGTCGGTTGACTCACAGATAAAATGTGGCAACTTCTAATTAAGAATATCATCTCCCTCTCCTTTTTCTTACAAACTCGTGCTTACTTTATATAATTCTTATCTGACAATGCTCGCAGGAAGAAGAAAAAAAAAGAAAAGGAAAAAGCAGAAAATGTGGACAAAGGAACAGGTGAGATTTAAAGAAGAGAACAGGGACAGAACGAAATAAGCACCTCACTTAAATCAATCTTTAAAAACAAATCATTCTGAGCAGGACTGAGCACTATTAATATAATCCTGATCTCATGATAGAGTCATTGTTACAGCTGAAGATATATTTGCCTTCCTATTTGGTCTTTGCTTAAGCACACAAGTACTTTCCAAAGATGCTCTCAGTGAGACACTGTCTGATGTGTAGTAGTTTGTTACTTTTGCGGCATTTTTAGCCAGGAGAGAATGGAGGGAAATATTTCAAAATGGGCAGCCACACTGATCTATTTCAGACCACCTCCTATGGAGTAAGAAGTCCCTGCCAGGTCAGTAGCAATGGTATCTGTATCCCCAGTCAGCATTTTAACTGCTGCCTCCTAAGGGTAGCAATTCCTTTCCTTTCTTCTTTTCAGTTCAAAGTATTTCACATGCAGTCCTTGGATTCATCTTCTCTCTTCAGGGAGCACTGCACTGCCCTCCCTCACAGCTGTCCGTCCCCTCCAGCCAAGTGCTCCTGCTCTGGTTAAAAACCCAACTGGGCACACACCAGTGCTGACTTACAGCTGGCTAAAAGAGCAGACACAACCAAAAATCTCCAAATGGCCAGCACTGACAAGCACTACTTATTAAGGGGAGGCAGTGATCTCCAAGAGCAGCTCCCAGGCAGGAATAACCCATGAGTCCCATACCTAGTGACAGAAATAGGCCACACTGATCAGCTCCAGCATGATCTGGCAGAGCCTTTACCTTGTCCTGCTGCCAAGAATTCATAGCAGCAAGCAGCCCTTGTGCCAGCACGGTCCTGGTGAGCCCTAGGATGTAGCCACAAATTGGAAGGCGCTCTCCCAGTGCCATGGAAGCTCACAAACCTAAATTGCTTTGTAGCACATTCCTAGCAGGTAGCACAGCAGGGAGAGAAGGGAGCAGATAATTCCCCACTACATCTTGACTGCAGGAAGAAAGTTTATCCATACCTACCTGGGAAAACTGCTTCTTATGTGACAGTGGCTGGGAGTACAACTTCCAGTGCTGGCCTTCTCTGGGCTGGAGATACTGGAGCATACACGCTCCAGTTCCTTGAGTGTCCAAAGAAGAGCTTTAGATTTCATAATTTCCAAGTTGCCTGCAGACCTCACTTCCTACTCTTCAGGGCTGGTAGACTCAAACACATCAGCTTCAATTACTCAGTTACCTGAGTTACCAACTAAAGTCATAGGTTTTGCCAGGAGCAGGTGGTTGGAAAAACACAAAAACTGCTGGGAAAATTAAATCCAAATCTCTGCTTCACATCCTGGTAAGTAGAAGATACATCCTTAGTGGGTTTAGAGCATCTCAACAAACATCCTTAGGGAAGGAAAATGGCCAGGGAGGTGAAGGCTCAATTTTTATATGGCAACCTAATTCTCTGGTAACTAAAATCATATCTGGGTGGAAATGGGTGGGAAGTTATTAATAAAAAAAATGAGAAGTCCCAAAAGAGACACAAGAAATTAGATCTTTTTTTCCTCTTCTCTTGAAATTTAAGAGAATTTGGTTTGTCATTTGTGAGCAACATTCACCACCATTCAGAACTGGTAACAGCCTATTTTTTCCTGTCAAGTTTTAGAAAGAAAATAGTGGGTAAAGAAACTCGCAGACTTAATAAATTAAGCCAAGCAAGCATTCTTCTGATCATTGCTTAGCTGTAGAGTAATATCCAGGCAGATATTTTTCAGCATGAAAAGCAGAATGGAGAGATGAATTCTGCTTGTTTATGCTTTGGTTAGTATCACTTCACTGACTTTGCTATTCAGGCTCATGGTTCACTCAGTGTTGAGAACTGTTGGCTGCAGGAACACTAATGGCATTGTGCATTAATTGTGTTTCACACGGGGGAAAAAAAAGACATATAATAATTTTTTTGCTTTTAAACATATAGCTCTTTCATGCTACCTCACATATCTTGCATTCTTTCTACAACAGAGATGTTCATGTCAGCATCAAGATCAAGGTGCAATTTATTCTTTCAGGTATAAGTAAAAAGGAATATAGTTACTGTTTCTGGTCATTTGTAGGTGAATGAGTTCTTACTGTACATGAGCATGAACCTCCCTTTTTTTTTTCAAACCCCTTTCCTGTGTGTAAAGAAATAAACAGTTGCCTATCATTCAGGCTATGTTGGCAGATTTTTCCAAAACCTTTTCCATCTGCTGGCAGCCAAGGAATGCAGCACATACAGGCCCCAATAAAACCTCCCTGGAACTAATACTTGTACACTGAATAATATTGAGGTACACCGTGGTAGCCTGGAAGAGCAGGAATAAGTATTTTAACTGGCTGATTTTTTTATCCTGCACCACAGGATAAAGTTTGCAAGTTTGCAAAGCAGATACAGAAAGCAGAAGGAAGGATAGGGGAAAGTGACATGAAAACTAGTAATCACAAGCAGATTCTAGGAGCAAATAAAAAAGTGCTTATGGCAAGTGGAGTACAGAGAAACTGAGAACAAGCCAGGGAGGTACAGCAGATATTTATTGCCACCTCTGCTTCAAAAGGAGATAATGGAACACAGACTTCTGGCCCTCCTTTATTATTCATTAAGAATATAGAGAGGACGTTTCAGTAATCTTCCTTTCAGTACTGTTGTGTGCAGATGTTTGAATATATACAGGTGCACAGAAAAAGTAATAGCCTTCTCCTAGTGTGCAGGAAGTCAACAAGACACAAGTGACTTGCTCAGAGGTACAACATTTAAGCAATCAACCGTATTACTGTGATTTTATTATCCTTTTTTTTTTCTTTTTTTGCAGTTGATGGATGGCCATGTATCTAAAACGGTGCAGCACTAATACCAGAAAAGAAGTACAAGTTCGTAAATATAGGTCTGGTGCAAGGGACTGTTGGAAGTGACTCAAGAAAACACTTCTTTTCAAAGCAACTTTAGGAAACTTCTGGACAATTATTGGGGCAGGTTAAGCAGATCCTCAACAAGTACTTTAATGTTATTTAATCCTACAATAACACCATTTCTATCAAGTGTGTGAGAAGTCTGTTCATAATTCATATGAGAGGAGAGGGAATAAATAAAAATAAATTTGTATAATCCCAACCTCTGGATCACCTGCTGTGTCTTTTATTTTTGTTTCAGTCTGGCTTAAAAAAACCCACTGAAATGTTGGCATAATTAAAAAAAAAGGGATTGAAACTATCTGTCAAATGAGTGCTTGCACTAATAACGAAAACAGTAACAGGTTTCAAGAAGCAGTATGACAGGCACCGAGACTAAGAAAAATTTAAATAGTTGTATACAAATCTAAAGTCTTTAAAAAATTTCATTTTTATTGATTCATTACCATACAAAATTTATTCAAATTACATCCATTTGAAGTGGTAAGATCACAGCTAGAGAACATGTCACCCTTTAGTAAATCTATTTACAAAACTCACCATAAAAGCTTTTTTTGTTGGTTTTTTCCTTTTTTTTTTACAGTATTTTACAGAGGTTTGTTTTTTTTTTTAAACTAGCATACAATGCAAAGCTAAATTAGATTAGTATTTTGCCCACACGCACTGGGACAAGTGTTTAATTTGTACAAAAAAAAGATGGTCTGCGTTAGTCTTCATTTTCTCTTCCCTCGCAAAAGTGCCCCTTTGTCTCGCAAATCTTCATGCTCACACAACTTTTACTTTCCTCTTCCACAAGACAAAAACTTTAAATACTACAATTTTATTTACAGATCCACATCTAAAAAAACTCTTAAAAAATTACAAACCAGCTAGAAAATATTCTGGCAGTGTTTACAAATTAATTCTATTGTACAAAACTGCTAGATAACTAAAGTGTGAGTTGAGAACATATATCAAATTAAATACAACTGCTGAATGATCTATGCAAACATTTGTACATATAAACACACACTTAACACTGTTTAACAGTTCTTTATGTGTTGCCCTTTATACATTTGTTATATTCTAAAACCCACACAGTCATACAGTTTCCTTATTAGTACTGTGACTTCTTGCCTTTTCGTGTGTGAGCTTTCATAGCAGCAACTCAATGGTACCAGAAAACC